TTTATTGCTGTTTAATCTCTTAAGGGCAGTTTTTCAGAGCTTAGTTAAATGTTTATTATGTATTTGGACTAGAAGATATTTCAAACATCATCACAGGAGCAGATATGTTTGATCAGCCCTAAGCAAACCAAAGCCTGTTGATAACCTTGACCACATACAACACAGAAAGGATAAAGGCTTCAAAAAAAGTATTCACTTTGACTGGATTGTTCTCTTCCATCACCCTGTAACCCTCTAGTAGTCAGTCAAAGAGCAATGTGGTGCCAAAAAGTACATTACAGTTGAAAAGTTTTCAGAATTTCTGTGGTTCAAGCAAAGGTCACAAAATCTGTTCTTTTGCCTCCTTGGAGCAGAAATGTGTGAAGTGTGCTTCCTTCCTATGCCACACTCACTCTATCCTCCTAAGGAAATATTCAAGCTGGTTCCAAACAAAAATGAATATCCTGTTTAGGAACTAACAAAACCTTGGCAGCAATAACTTGAGACTTTTTTTTCTAAATCAAATGAATGACAGGATTGAAAACCATTTATGTAAAATCTGTCTTTAAAAAAAAACGATTACCAACAATGGTTCTTTTAAGATCCTGGCTCTTTTATAGAAGCAGTTAATTTAATTCCTTTCCCCCTCCTGGAGTGGCTGTTGATACATTCTCCTATTTGCTATTTTTAGCCCATGTAGAAATTTTCATTTAATTCTTTTGTTTCCCTTCAAGTATCTTATACTTGGAGCTCATTTTTTCCCTCTCTCTCTCTGTTCTATTTGCATGGTCCTTCACATTCAAAGCAATATCCAGCTAGCCTCAGGGCACGGCAGAAACACAACCTACTGCCAGCTAGGAGAGCCCAGTTGAGTGATAAACTAACTCATTCCAGGCTGTGGGCCAACAGGGTGGGTTTAGCCGCTATGTAGAACTGATACATTCAATCATCAGCGTCCATATTAAGCTTGTTTGCCAAGTTTCACATCTAGAGGTGTGTATAGATACTATTTTTTTTTTTCCTACAAGCTTTGGGAGTGTCTAGACATCTCCTTTTTGTAGTGGTTCATCTATGAAAGGTAGGATAGAAAGACATAGAAACCCATCATATTCTGTGTGTGTGAATCTCAGCATTTGCAGAAAACTTATGTGCTTTCCAGATAATAATTAAAAGACCCTCAAACTTCTTGGGAATATGAGTGGATAGGAGTACATTTTAGAGAGGGCAAACCAAAGTACTAAAAAATTGTAAGCATGTAACCCAAAACACCAGGATAGTAAAATAATCCGCAAACCCTTAGCATTGTTTTACATGTACAAATGGGTGGGGTGGGGGGAATCAGGTAAAGATTTCAGAGCTGTAACCATGCTCTATACTTATTTCAACTTCTTAAGCATGGACGGAAAATTTATGTCCCTTGTCTAACACATACTGAGTCTAATCCCTTTCTTTTCCATTTTCTTTATTTTACCTGGGGAGTGTAATAGATGAGAAATTTGGGGGGTTTAAATGGATTTAGTATAATTCATTTAATTTTGAACTCAATATGAAATTAGGTACATTTCAGATCAATCTAAAAATCAGGTAAATGGAAGCCCTTCCACTTTTTAAAATTGATAGAAGTTCTATTGGATTTCAGATTAAGATTTATTCCCATTTATTAGATAGACAAAATGCAGCCTATTGTGATAGTAGCATGTGCTATGTAAGCTATGTGCCATAATGAATGCCTAATCACTAGATTGTGAGACTTACAAGGTATTTATTTTTTAATATCTCCCATCTACCCCCACATTCACACACACACTAATTGCATAGCATAGTACTTTGTACATAGTAAGTGTTTTTTTTGTTGTTGTTGTTGTTTTTGTTTTGGCTTTTTTTTTTTTGGTTAACATAAGGAAAAGAGATAGGAACTAGATCTGTGATTTCATTGGTGTGAGGAACTCAAGGGGGAGTGGTGAGGAATCTCTCTCTATTACTGCAAGTTGGAACCTTTTCTGCTGTCTAAAATGTTGAAAGGTTAAATGACATAGAGTAATGCAACAAGTGTGTTTTAGAAGCAGAACTCGCACTCAGGACTTTCTGGCTATGAAGTTGGCTCTCTCCTCACTACACCATACTGCCTCTCATAGTAAGTCCTCAGTAATATGGAATTTATAAATTTGTTGTAATTAGTGAATTGAGTGCCAGACCTGGAGTCATGAAAATCTGAGTTCAAAATTGGTCTCATTTACTAGTTGTATGATCCTGGACAAGTTACTTAAACTCTGCCTCTGTTTCCTTAACTGCAAAGGGAGTACTATCATAACAGCACCTACCTCCCAAGGTAAAATGAGATAATGTCTGCAAAGTACTTATCACAATGCCTGGCACATAATAGGTGTTATATAAATATTAGCTGTAATAATAACAATAACAGTAGCAATTAAATGACTATTTCAGATTGTCTTTATGTAAAACAGTGTAAGTAATCATCTACATGTGTGATTTGAGACGTGCCATGGATGTTTCCCCATAGATGATACAGATATATACATTTATACCCCTTGCCAATGCCTCTGATTTTTACCATAAATTATCCATTTATTTGTGATAATAATCTGAATCTGAATCTTTAATCTAATCTGAATTTTTTTAACGCATGTAATCCTGAGAATGAAGCACAGTAACACCCCAAATGCTTAGTGTTGGCATATGTAGAATATGGTTTTCCTTCATTAATAAACCATTCTATTTTTCCCAATATGCCCCAGGTTCTGAGCACAGGGAATTTTTAGGACAGGCAAAGGGACCAAATGGGGAGGGAAGAAACTAAGGACCCGTTAAATTTTTTTTGTCTATATAAGAATTTTATGTGGGGATGAGTATATTTATAATGAAACAAAGACAATCTTGTCAAATTAAAGTTTCTAAGGGGAATATTATAAAATTAAGACATTAATTCTTGAGTTCCATTAACATTTTATAAGGTCTAGCTAGACAAAAAGTGAACTTAAAAGGCTGTCTTAAAACAATTGAAAAAAACTAACCATCTCTCTTTCAAAAGCAGCAAGGATTTGTTTTGAGTAGGAATAGGAAGTCCTGAAGCTCTGTACTTAAAGATTTAACACATCTTTGGAAGGATATTTTCAAAGGGCTGCCTCATAATTGCTCCTAGAAAAATTAGATTCTCATAGACAACAATAGGGATCACTTGAATTGATATTAATTTGTGAATTAATTCTATTCATTTTTGGCTGCCTCATTCTCATTTCATGGGGGCAATAGAGGTAAGGCCAAAAGTTTCAGGTGCAAACACAGAATGCATGTGTGTTTATAAAGATCAGACCAAAAAACTATAACACCTCAACCATTAAGGTTTTCACTTAACAGACTGAATGTAATATCAAGATGGATTTACATCTGACTTTTTTGAGTGTAGCAATAGGATAAAACTTTCCTTCCACGAGATTGGCCAATTTCAGTTCTACTGCGTTCTGACTTTTCCCTTTATTATTACAGTTACCTATTTGTTTTTCCTACTTCTGTTTGTCCAGAGAAAGAAACGGAGTCTGGTTGGAAACTATCTGGAAAAAATATAAAACAATCTTTAGCTAAACTTTTATGGTTTTATGGTCCCACAGATGAATACCCAATTGGAAAACTTTAAAAATGCGTGTTATGTGTGCAATAACATAACTCATAACACATTGTATATTATATGTAACTAATTTTTAAAATTTGTATTATGTGGGCAGTGGACCATAATAGCTTATTGAAGTTGTTATGGTAGTTGATTTTTATAATGTCGATGTAGATTTACTTATTAAAATATAAGAAATTGCTTTTTTCCTGCTATGGATTACTATAGCAATAAAAATACGTTTTAATATTTTGGGATTTCCCCCCTAGTGTTTCTTTAACTAAGGAGAGAATTTTTATTTGTAGGATGGAAAACATTTTCTCTTGTGGAATTCACTTCAATGTATATTAAAAAAGTTTTGATCAAATAGTTCCCCTCTCCTTCTACCTCTCCTGCTCCATCTGCCAGCTCTAGAGACATTTCCTTAAAGATCCTATATAAAAGATCCTAACACTAAAATTCATGATGTGAAACTATCTTCATTGAAAATTATATAACACATGGGGGGGGAGAGTGCTGTGTTTTTTAAAAATCACACTTTACCTAATACAGTGCAACCCATTTAGATATTCCTCAGTTAAATATAAATTTCTAGTAATGAGTAATTAATAGATTCCTATTCTCATTTTTATACAAGATTTATATTTTATTTATACTTTTTAAAGTTTGCAAATAGTCATCAAAAGCTTCCCATTTTTACATGTCCACCTTACTTGCAGTGTGGAAAACATTTTTTTTTAATAATGACGCTGATTAATTTCCTGCTCCTAATCTACCCCAGAATTCCTGGGGAACCCAGTTGGGATTTTTGGTTGTCTGTTATCACTTTCTTCCATTTCTTTTCAAATAAACCAGAAGTAAATTTAAACTAAAGTAACTGAAAACATCAGTTTTGATAGTGTGAATATCTGAACTAAAAAAAAAAAAACAAAAAACACTGGTCTCTAGGAATATTTAGGTGAGTTGCTCACAGTGTCCCATTCAAAGCCAGTCCTATTTCAAACTCATGACCTCTTTGCAATGTACAACTTTGAATAGAAAATGAAATATATAGGACTTTGCTTTCCTTATACTCAAAGGGGAAAATTAAGTAGCCAGGACAAGAGAGGACACATCTTGGCAAAGAAAAAGGATAAGAAATTGGAGGAGTAACTTTCCTTTGTGTTGAAAGAAGTGTGTATTTTGAAGTTATGCACCCTTGCGTGCAGAACAATTAGACCTTTGGTTAAAATAGTCATGGGCTGCTGAATAATAAACAAGCCTTAGAAGTGTTGTAAAAAGGCCTCAAATGAAAAAAGTCTGTTCCTCCTCTTAGCATATCCAACACACTAGAGGATATGTTAGTCAAACTAAATTTACTGTTTTATTTTATTTTATTATATTTTTTTTCTTACAGAAAGAATGTGCTAATTTCATCAAGGTGCTTAAGGCTTATAACCAAACTCACTTGTATGCCTGTGGAACAGGGGCTTTTCATCCAATTTGCACCTACATTGAAATTGGACGCCATCCTGAGGTAAAGCTGTTTAAAAAAAAATCTTGTCCATGACCCTTTTCCTATTTAAATGACTTATTGCTAATTACTGCAGCTCATTTAGTTTCCAAATTGTTGCTCTGGGTGATCTGCCTCTAATTGAGATGTTGATATTATTTCTGATTTGTGAATGCTAATCAAATGAAGCCATCATCTACCAATAGCTTAAGAGCAGAAGGGAACAAAGAAAACTAACATTTGTTTTTACCCCAGAATAGTAAGTCAGTTTTCTTTTGTTTTGGTGGCCGATGCCAACAGGCTCTTTGTGTACTGTGGTCTCTTTTGTCTTTCATTGTGTCGGCCTCCCCTTCTAGTTCCTCCCTCAGACAGTACTAGTGTCTACCACCCCAGCTGTTTTCTTCTGCCTAGGGATTAAGACTAGATGCTACCCATGCACACATATTATACATGCTTCTCTGGTATCCCATTTTATCCAAATAGCTTTTTGTTTCGTTTTCTGCCTTTGCTTAGTACTGATTTTTATACCTTTATTTATTCTTCTAATTGTAAGGAAAGGAACCTGGCAAAATGAAGAGAGTACTAGATGTATAATCAGAAAGATGTGAATTCAATCCCACTTCAGCCACTCAAATCACTTTTAAGGGTGAACATCTGAATTTAGTCCCAAGTCTCTGAAAATGTTTCTGTGAGAATTTCAAAGTGACCTAATCAAAACCAATTTTATTTTAGACTCACAGCCTTTTTGCAATGGGCCACTTTGTAGAGAAGAGAGAAATATAGCATTTGACTTTCATTACTCCACAGGGGGAGTGGGGAGAACTCAAGTGGTAAATACAAGGAGAGTGTATGTTAACAAAGAAAAAAAAAAGGCTAGAGGTTAAAGGAGTAACTTTCCTTCATATTGAAAGAAGTGCTTCTGAGCAAGGCAGGTGATGCAGTAGTCCTAGCCGTGAAATTGGAAAAATCAAGTTCCAATCTGGACTCAGATACTTACTATGTGACCGTGTGATCACGGGTAGGTCACTGAACCTCTATCTACCTTAGTTTCCTCATCTTTAAATTTGAGATAATAATGGCATCCCTCAGTAGTGTTGTAAGGATCAAATGAAATATCTGTAAAACCCTTTGTAAATCTAAAAGGTTAAATTCTAGTTATTATTATTGCTTTTGTTGTCATTATCATTGTTATTATTATATCAGTTAACTCTGTGCCTCACTTTCCTCACCTGTGAAATCAAGGAGCTGATGGCCTCTTATATCTTTTCAATAATGCTGTTCCTTCTTAAAAGCTACATTTCACTCTTCTATAAATCTAGTATCCTATGATTTGATTTCTAAGTATTTGCTCGTTTTGTTACTTTCTAATGATAATTGAATGAAGAAAATTAGCTCAAATTCAGGGTAAAATTGAAATTGACCATCATTGAAAGTGTTATCTGACCAGAAGGGAATATTGCTGATGACAAAAGTAATTTACCAAATAGCATTTAACATTGTACTTCTTTTTTTTTTCAAAATGTCCCCCATCAATTGTTGGTCTCATATCCAAAAATAGGTAGAGAGCTTTCCAATCCGTATCTATTAATGCCCTTACACAGTAACTTCCTTCCAAACTAGAAGCAGGTATTGTCTGTTTGTTAAAAATTTCCAACTCAAATTTCCAATCTAAAAACAAACTTTTGAGGCATTGTCGCATAGTAGCATCTGTCTTAAGTGGTCCAAATACATGGCTTTGAGTTCTTACTTTGGCACGTAATGTCTAAGAGATCCAGCCTGAGCAAGTCACTTAAATTTTCAATGCTCTGCTATAGTAGTGATGGGAAGCTTCAGTTATCTAGACATCTGCTGAAGATCTTTCTGCCAAGAAGCAGAATTGCTAATAACTCTTTGGCTTGTCTAAATGACAATTTCATACTTCAAAAAGTGAAAGCCTATATGAGAAATTCTGCTCTGGATCAGATTCTCTCTAATAGGGAGAAACTAGTTGCTAGGGTGCAAATGATAGAAACACTGGGAGGTTCCTGGAGTTTGTGAGAGAAGAAAAGAAATTTGGGCAGAATTAGACATATGCCTTAAATTTTGGGAAAACAAATTTGAAAGGATATGGAGGATCCTATGCAATAAAATTCTACCAGAAAAGTTGGCCTCGAAGGGATGAACACTCCCAAGAACAAAATGCTGAAAGACACAGAGGGTAGGTTAGTGGGTAATATTTTCTCTCATTCTCTTTCTTATTCTCACTCTCTCGGTACCTTTAAAACTTTTTTCTAATGTACAGAAACTTTTAAGAATCAGAATGGAATAAATATAGCAGTTTTATTAATCCCTTGTTAAATCAAATGAGTGTATGTAGTGTGTGTGGTTGTCCCAAAAGTCTTAGTGCAGTTTTAAGCTCCGCTAATGGATATATATTTCCATTCTACATTTCTACATGTATGTCTTAACCAATAGTAAATTATGTAAATGTTCAATTTCTTTTTTATACATTGAAATGCTTATAAGGATTAAGTTCACAATTTTAAAAATAGTCTTGAAAATTAAAAAAAAAAAACTCTTTCAATGCTCAGGGTGACTCTTGAAGACCACCTTGTAGAGCAACTTGCTTGGCTAGAAGGAATTTCATCACTGGGATTCCCTCTACCATTGAAATCCCAGGTGTAGTTAAAACAACAATAATAACTGAAATATAATTTAGATATTGCTAACTTCTTGGTTAACCACACCTCTAGACCAATTTATTATTCTTATCTTAAAATAAATAACAATGTGGCTTTATTCCTTTCAGTACTAAAGGAGGTGGCTATTTCTTCCTGTTTGATTCACCTTGGTAATGATGGTCTTATATTTAGGCTGCAAGTCTTTTTTTTTTTTCAATTTGAGAATTTAGGAAGTATTTACCTCTCTCCATTGCTGGCTTCCCTGAGTCAATACCCAAGTACTTGGTTCCAGAGAAGAATGACTATCATAACTTCCCAAGGATGTAGATTCAAATTAAAACTCTTGTAGTAACCATTGTGAAGCTTGTATCTCAGAATATTATAATGAGAATAGTATAGAGCTCTGAATTCCTGAGTAACACTTTTGGTTACCTGATTTATAATTTTATTCCTTTCAGACTAATTTTCTCATTTATAAAGTAAGTCTAGAAAAATACTCTACAAAACAAACTATAGAGGCTGCCAATAAATAAATTCCTTACCTTGCCCTTTGCCTCAGTGGGTGTCACTCTGTTGCTTAGGAAATGGAGAAAAAGTCAGGTTTTTATTTTGTTTTTAACAGTAGTTGTAGCTAGCATTTATAAGGGCTATTCCAAAAGTCTTGGTGTATTTCAGGCTACTAAAGCTTAAAATTGCACTAATACTTTTGGGTCACCGTATACTTTTTTTGTGGGTTTTTTTTAAGGTGTTCCTCACAACTCTGTGAGTTATGTGCTGTTATACCCATCTTGCTTGTGAGGAAACTGAGACAAAGACAGGTCAAGTGACTTGTTCAGGGCCACAAAGTAAGTGTATGAGGCAGGATTCAAATTTGGTCTTCATTATTCCAAGTCCTATACTCTTTTCACTGGGAAAGCTCATAGGTTTTAGGATGCATGTATTAAAAAAAAATAAATGATTTGTGGATTGATTAAAAATTTGAGATCCACAGATCAATTGGGAAAAATTCATTATATTGCTGTTTTTTTCATCTTACATTAAAAAAACTAAATATTTTAGTTATTCCCCAGTGATAAGACTTGAGTTCTTTGATTGAAATCTACAGACATCTCTGAGTGAGCCTACTTTTAAATTTTACAACCTTTAATCCCTCTGTTGATGATGTTTTGGTCCTAGGTCTCTAATTAATGTCTGTTTAAGTCATTAAAGCCAGTAATGCCAGAGTGTCTCTATCCTTTCCTGGTAATCCATTCCATTATGACCTTAAACCAGGAAAAAAAATGTTGATTTAATACTTATTTATCCTTTGATTCTCAGTCCTTTGCCTTCCTGATCAGAGAAAAATGGACACTTTTGGGAAAAAAAATATAGACTTTTTCTGTCCCAAGTGAGTCTGCTTTTACCTCCACCCCCACACACTGTCTGCACTGTAAATACTAAGAGGATTATGAAGCTTAAAATATAATGGCTTGCACAAACAAATCCAACACAAGTAAGATTAAAAGGAAAACATAACTGAGGAAAATATCTTTGTAGCAAGTTTCTCTGATAAAGGTCTCATTTCCAAGATATATAAGGAACTTTTCATATTTATAAAAAAAAAAAGACATTCCCCAATTGACGAATATATCAGGATATGAATAAGTTATTCTCAAGGGAAGAAACCCAAGTTATCTATAGCCCTATGGAAAAAAAAGTGTTTTAAATCACTAACAATGAGCGAAATATAAATGGAAGAAGGTTGTATCTCACACTCATCGGAATGACAAAGCTACCAAGAAAGGAAAATGGCAAATGTTGGAAGGGGCTGCATGGCCATTATAGGAATTTGTTTTGCTTGACTATATTTATATGATATAAGGGTCGGTCGTTCCTTCCTTCCTCCCTCCCTCCTTCTCTCCTTTCTACTATGCATTTATAATATATATATATATATATATATATATATATATATATTTTGTCAAACTATGAAGCTACCATCCAAAATAAAAGTACTTGTCATATCGTATCTGTAATATTCTCTGCTGATTTCCTTGTTGCCAACCTATGTCCCTCCCATTCATCACTGCCATAATAATCTTCCTGAAACTTATCTGTAATAAATTCATTTCCCAGTTCAGCAACTAACAATTTCCCTTTGTTGCTAACTGCTTCAAATCCAAACTCTTCTAGTTTACTCTCAAAGTTAGCCATTATCAAATTCCTGGCCTCTAGAGAATAGGATGGGACCTAACAGTGCTGGGTGATTAAAAACCAATTAATTGGACCTTAGGGAAAGAATCCTTCTAGAGAAAGTGGGTGTGGTCAAAATCTTCATCCCAGAAAATAAACAGTATGTTGTACAAAATCAAACCAGAGGTTACA